TAGTGACTTATAGATCTTAACAAGTATTTTTTAAAAAAATTAAAAATCGATTAACGATCTTATAATAAATGACGATATTATGTGCAGTAATTTATGTTTCAAGTATTAATTTATTATACTTTAGTCATTGTGCATATACTTAATTGTCGTATGGGAAATGACTGATTTGATTAGTGCATCTATTTAAATATGTTATTTCAATGCCTGATGGCATCATTCATCAACTGAATTGCAACTTCCCTTATTGGTCATTAACTTTATTACATAAGATATGATCTTTACGGTTTGTCTGTATTGCGTATTTACATTACCAATCAAATGGAATGCTCCTCCTGACATACTCATTGTCTAAGGTATAGTAACAGAACTGTGTCATTCGTCATAATAATAATAATAATAATAATCAAAATAAGTATAAAGCTAGAAAAGAGACATAAGGTGATTATGTTCTGATTGGAAAAATCCATACAACAAAGCCACGAGTCTCAAATATACTAGTTAACTATTCACTTGTTTGTTTTAGACTCATGGCTTTATTGTTTGGATTTTTCTAATTATAAAATAAAAACAATAATAATACAGACAAATTCAAGTCATCATAAAATTGTAAAAAAAACTGCAATACATGGATTTGGTAAAACGTTGATGTAACAAATAATCTTTGACTCGGAAATTTTCATATGGCAACTTAAAATAATATCATTATTATAATTTTATTGCGACTTTGATATTTATAGGGTTCATATAAATTTCAATAAATCCAATCCAATAACCTTTACACTTCTAGTCAACCTAGGACTCCTGGAAATCCTTATACTAGACTAAAACGACAAGGAACCGTTCGACGTTTCCGACTACTTCAGCACTTACTAGACAAACCTTATAAGATTTTAGTTAATCACAAAAGACTTTTTCTTCTACGTTCTTCCCTCAGATGACCAGGTCAGGAAATAAAATAAAGAATTCGGTAGTCCTCCAGGCTTCCGTAGAACTTTATTTCCATATCAGGTGGAAAGGGCTAGATTAGAATCCTTTGCTGGGAATAGATCTTGCACGTTTGCAGGATATGTTCCGCATCCTGCTCATCCGCACCTGCAGAGGGGACAAGAGCCAATTTTCAACTTTCTGAACAGGTAAGCTTTGGTGTGCCATGTTCGCAGGCGGAAGATTAGGACCTGTTATTATTATATAAATGACTATAATAAGGCCTATTTGGACATACAGAGTTGAGCATATAACTTCCACTACGCCGTCACATCCCTCTCATATCCAATCCTAAAGATCCAAAAGCCTCATTAAAATCATCAAATCTGCTTACTTTGGTACAAATAAACTCAACCATAACGGCCTTAATGTTCCACATGTTTCCGATTTGGCTCAATCAAGATATTTATCCTTCCACAATAAACTTCAGAGCGATCCTAATCCTTTCCTTTCTAACCTTGCTTCCTCTTCGATCCCTGATAATCCAAGATGCATCTGAAAAGAAAGTGGTCTCGTGATCACCTAATTTAGAAACTTGATTAGAGTGATACCAATGGGTAGCGTTCTCTACAAGTCATGACATTGTATTTCTTTGTATCACATTTACTGGATACATATTAATTTTTATACAGTTGTAAATTTTAATGGAGAAAGTTAGTCAACTGTTCTATATATCATGGGTGATAAATATTCAGGATGTAGTCATTATAAAGTTTTTATTAGTGCCGACGTTTCAATCCAAACATGTGGGTCCATCATCAGGGCTTGTTCCGAGCAATTCAAGTAGTCATTGAAGCAGTACTTGAATACCTTCAGTGCACGAAACACGCCCTGATGATTACCCACATCTTTGGGTCGAAACGTCGGCACTAAACTTTATAATGACTGCCTCCTGAATATTTATCACCTATTTTAAATTTTATGAATAATAATAAAAAAAAAAACTTTTATATTTTCTTAAACATATTTATGTTGTATTGCTACTTATTCCATTAATGGACTATTTGAGGTTTGTTGCACCATTATAATTACTATTGGCTATAATAATGTTAGTTTCTATATTAATGTCTATTCTGAAAACAATAATTACTCTCTATATCTCAAATTTATTAAGATAATTAAAAAAAAGAACACATAACATATCTCATAAAACAAAGTATTTGATTAATTAGTTTTTACTGACCCATATTTCTATTGCGAGAAGGGAAACAAGCAGTTAAGTTATCTCTGGAGAGGGAACTGCTTTATAATGGGCGAAAGGGGGTCCCCTTTTAGAAAAATATCTCGGAATCGTTCAATTATTGGATACTTTAAAAGAAATTATATATTTTTTTTTTATTCCCTTCATTTGTGGGAAGACCGGGAAATTTAATATTGTCTTTTTTACTGAATATAATATTTCATTGAAATTATTCCTCGAACTTCTTATCCTTAGCTCCTTTTGAGTAAGGTTTATTTTTCGTTTTTTTATTTACTTTTTCATAATTTATCTTGCTTCAATTATTGGAAAACTGAAGCAGATAAAAATAGAAATTGTTTTTCAACATGGATATTTTAAAGGCAGCTTTTTGAACCGGTCATTCTTAAGATATGTATTTAAAAAAAAAAAAACTTTATAAAACTTAGGAAGTTTTATTTTAGTTGAACTATGTAATTTATGTTTCTGATAAGAATTATATGATCACTTTGAATTTCATAACTGGTACAATAATAATTTCAGTAGATCATTGCATAGTATGAAATACACAATTACTACCTAATTATCATCTTAATTATGTATTTTGTTTATTTATTGGTAAATAAATAACTAGATAAATCTAAATGAGACGGTCGCTGATATTTTTCTAAATATATTTTAACCATCTAGGAGGCTTTAAACTTACTCTATATCAATATTGAATATTAAAAGGAGGGAAATTGTTTTTATTCCTATATATTAAAATTAAATGAAATAGAAAGAAAAAGTTAAAAGAAAATTTAACATTTTTAAAAATAATTACTAACTATGATGAAATTTCAACTACTTTTAAAATTACAACCCGACAAATTACAGTTTACAGTGAGGGTACAAATTGAAAATTCAAAGCCTTACGAATAGCAAATACCAACAAATAACCAATCGGTCAACTTTTCACTTATTCAGGCATCATTAAGATAGAAATAATTAAGCGGGCATGAATACCGACCCGTTCATCTCACATCACTCAAATTCCAGGCCATTTAACATATACCCAACTTTCGATTTTTTTCTCCCTTTTATTTATTATTGTTAATTCTTAAAAGGAAATCATTTTTACAGAAATATTTTCGATTTTTTTCTCATTGCTGAACTCATTATGCCATTTAAATATAACACAATATTTCGTATTATTTATGATTTTGTAATTGAGGAACATTTCAAAGTTTAGTATATTTATTTCAATTATGCCTTTTTAAAAAAAAAAATTGTCTTTTAATTTGTAGCCCCCTCTACTCTTTTTTTTAAAGCTTATTCATTGAAAAATATTACAATCTGTCTCAAGGACATTTATAATAGTGTTCATAGATCACATTCAAACTCTATGTACAGTAAATAAAATAAATTATACAGAAAAATAATATATATACAATAAATAAGAATAAAATAACCTAAAAATAAATGAATAAAAAGAACACTTACATACTTATATACAATATTTACAATCTGGCGAGAGAACTCCCAACCAGACTTGTCCCTCCAACTGTGGAGGGAAAAGCATGACTCCAGGAGATCCCTGCACTTCTCTCTCATCCTCGTCACTGGGGCTAAACCCAGTGAAGATCCCTCTACTCTAGAGATAAAAAAAAAATTCTACCTTTAAATGTTAATTTTATTTCTCATTTACTTATTGTATTCTCTATGTAATACAGTTGTAAATTCCATTAAAATAATAAAAAAAAATAATAAAATAAAAAAAGTTAATTTTATTTCAAAGCTTGTATTTTACCTTTAAAATATGTGTTACGAACTGTGTTGAATAAAAGTTTGTCCTATCTATGTAAGAAACCCTATAACAATCTTTTTAATAATAATGTTCCAAAAAGTGTATATTGAATTTCGGTGAAATGCTCTTCACATTTTTATTAAGACGTTTTTGTCGTAAAATAAGAAGAAACATCATAAATTATCAAATGATAGATAAATATGTGGGCGAGAGAATAAAAACAGTAGTAAAAGTTCTAATATTTTAATAGTATAGTTTAATTGGTTTAACAGTATAGTGTAATTGAGATATTAAGCCATTCCGATTTTCTGTAATATAGGACATCGTAAAAAAAAGGTTTTTATTTTATTAATTATAATTAAATATTTTATTATAGAATTTAGATATGGGAAAAATAAAAAAACAATTTGCAACAATTATTCAAGGTAATGGTTGATATTGATTTATTTTTATTAATATCAACTAATTTTGTTCAATTAAAATAGAACCCTGATGATAGAGAAGATGTCCGAAATTTCGGTTTGAGAATCTTAATAAAAAGAGAGTATAATAGAAGTATTTATTTCACTACATAGATGTGTATATATATTTTAGATAGATATTTGAGTATAGTTAAATATATTTCCGAATAGTTGGAAAACATATAGTATGAAAAATATTAAAATTTGTCCTCTGTTTGTCCATGACCGGTGCATACATACTTCCTGCTGTACGAAAAATCAAATAGGTTCCATAAAATATATATATATATATATATATATATATATTTTTTTTTTTTTTGAAAATGTTTATAAATCGAAACAAAATTATATTAGGCCTTGTTAAATTGACTTCTCTAAATATTTAGTATATATTTTAAGCGGATAACCAGGAAGCTATAAGGAAAATAAAATAATTATTACAGTCATCTCATCTCCAAATGGGATGGTAATCCTAAAGGAAAGCATTAAGTCCATAGACCCAAAGCCAGATCGCCTTGGTACATTGTGGTGGGGGTTGCCTGGCCCCCTACCGCGCCCTATGTTAGTATATAAGATCTGTTGTGGTTCTTGGAGGGCATCCACAGTCCTACAGGAACAAACAGAGTGCCTGCCAAGGAGGTGTATCCACAAGAATGAAAGCCTTCGTAAGTATTCCAAACAGATTCTTCGTTGCTCTAGACATAAAAAAAAACTGGGAAAATCGGTAGAATTTTGGCGGGAAAAAAAAAATCAAAATTTCAAGCACTTTCAATAATGATAAGAAAAATGTCTGAAAATTTAATTAAGTAAAAGTCTTCTCTACAGACTGGTGAATAACATCATTCATTTTTTTCGTAGTATAATACGAGGTAATAAAATTTAGTTACGATCATTCATATGTTCGGAATTATCAGAACGTGTCAGTAATAAAAAAAAAATTCAACTTCCCTATATATTTTCAAAGAATGTTTAATAAACTCGTGTATATTCTATAGGCGTGAGGGAAAAACACCCTGTTTAAAACATCTGCTTGTCAGAATATAATTTCATTTATATGCTAATCCAGGATGAAGACCAGGGCTCAATGGTACACTTATATAATACTGACACCACTGTTGGGCTTAGGGGTAGGAATATTAAATTAAATTTGAACTCATTTAAAATCATAAGCTTTAAAATTATTACAGATAAATATATAGATAGAGATGTGGTAAATATTTAAACAAAGTTAAAAATATTTTTTTATATCCTACAAGGGTATTTTTTTAAACTAAATAAGAATATTGTTCGCAAGAAAATATTCACATGTTAAATTTTTTTAAATTATAATTAATAATGAATTGCATCTCATATCAGACATTTTTAAAGCTAATATCAAATGCCACACTAACAAGAGCCTATAGGAGGGAAAACTAAAATTATTTAATTAAAAATAATCTTAAGAATTTTGTGTAAGAATTTTTGTCCAATTTTCACTACATTTTTATAACTGCCACATACGTAAGCAATAAAATATAATTTTTTAATTGAAGTATTCGGTTTTAATTTCTTAACATGAGCGGTGTCAAGATTTATCTGTTATGCTCAAAACCGCACGTAATAATAAAATTTTACTTACAGATTTTGCAGAGTGGCTGTAGATATATTATTTAAATGACTGTGTTCCTTTTTTTATTTATATATTTTTATTTGTCTGTTAATAACCTCACGATATGAAATAAGTTAAGATTTCATTTACGTACATTTCATTTTAATAATACGTAGAATTTCTGTTATAGAAAAATTATAACAAACAGCTAAAGACTTTTTTTATTTGTTATAGTAGTACTTAATGACTCCTAATAAATTGCATTTATTATTAATACAATTATGTGCATATCATTCATATACCGACAAGAAACTATGAAATAACTGAACGTTTGTCAAATGAAAAAATAAATATATTTAAAAAAATCGTTTAATTTAGCCGTGAAACTTAATTAAATTAACTTATTTTTTAAACTACTGAAATTTCCATGGAATAGCATATTCTATACATTTTATTTCGAATAAATCGGTTATAATTCTATTAATATTCAGAAAAACAAATAACCTAATAAGAAAATAATAATATATTTCCATATTTATAGATCCCATGTTTAGAAATTGCTGATCAATTTTTTTATACGATAATATTTTTCTCGATTGAATGCTGAAACTATTTAAGATGATCAGGTCTCCTTCCTCCGTATACCACACCCATTACATATAAAATGCAAATGTTTTTGTCCTTGTATTTTTTTATCCTGTTCCTATAGTTACTTTTCATCGGTGGCCGTGCAACTATATCCTTGATTACGAAAACAGGTATCAATAGCACTTCCTGTTACAGTAACAGTTATCTGAAAGCGCTTAATTATTTTTCCCGATGTATAAATAAATATATATTTATTCAGTGATTAAAAAAATATTTATTCAGTAATTAAAATTAAAATTATTAAAATCATTACTATACTGTTATATTATTACAAAAATATATTGCCTTATTAAAGATGCGAGAGAGAAAATTATGATATTACACTTCGGGTTCAATTTAATGTAAAATTAAAAATCTAAATATGAGTAATGTAGACATTACCACAATTGGTATGGTGATACAATATAAAAACAAATATAATAGAAATAGAAATTATTTTTAAAATTACCAAAGATTGTTTTGGAGTGTTTCAACAAATGAATTTAAAATAAAAACTTACAATTCCCAAAATTTTTAATTCGTGTTTTTATTTTTAAATTTTATAGTTGAATCATTTTATTAATAGATGATAAAAGTTTTACTTCAGGAACTTGAAATTTATACATAGATTTCTCATTATTTTTAAAGTAATTTATTAACTTACTTTTGTTTGAGTCATAAACATTTAGTGATCTCTGAGGTAATAAATTTCATATGATATTCATAGTAAAAAATATGCATTTATTGATTTTTCTTCCTAATACTCTAATTATTTCTAGGAGTTATTTTCAAAAATGAATAATTTTTTTTTCATTTTTTATTGAAGTACCATAATTTTCACTACTTGGAGTCTGTGGGTTACTTGGACCCAAACTGAGAAAGTAGCAGGAACGTGGTGTAAATTATGTTTTTATTTTAATAAAAAGAGACCTTAGTGTAATTTATAACATTTTTTTTTTGGTATGTGCTAGTCATCCCCTGCAGAGTCTAGTTAGTCCCAAGCTTCAATATTTATTAATGTTTTATTTAGCCATAAATTAATTATTGTTTTATGATTTCAGATATTAACTTGCCTTTTGGCTGCTGCCACTGCATCTGCAGTCGTACCCACAGCGTACCACCTCGGAGCGTATCCCTGGGGAATCAGCAGTAAGTAGTCTACGTCTACGAAATAAATAAAAAACTAACAGGAAACAGTATAATTTTAACCTGAGACCAGTTTAAACTGTGTACAACATTCTAATAATTCAAATCGCATGTCAGTAATTGTGGTCGCTTATCGGGAAGTTACCGAACTTTTAAAGGTGCTGAAGTTATTATAACTCATTATCACGACATGGATTTCGATTTATAGTGTTAGGAATGACAAATGGCGGGTGCATAATTACAAAGTTTATAAATTAGTGGTTTTTTTTTCGATCTTCAATGGAAGGGGCATCATTTATGATTATTTGAATTATGAAAGTAAAATTGGTTTAAGCTTCATATGTGAATACGCAGTTACTGTAAGTTATTTCTTAAAAAATGTAAATACCGCATACTTCCGATTAAAGCCACACTCTCTTTCTCGAGGACATGCTATTTCCAGCTTCATTAATTATATATGTTAAGGTGTGACCACGGAAATTCCTCATAGGTACATTCCTGTTAAGGACTCCCTGAAGGCGTAACCCCCTCCAATCCAAGGTGAACCCACAGGTGCCCTTGGTCGCGCTTAACGGACTCATCTCTCATCTCGGCAATTGAGAGGAAAACCGCTACTCTATCTGATGCCACCTTCAGGCCTTGATACGCATTCCACTAAGTTCCTCCTCCCAGACGCTAAGCTACACATCCATCGTCTGGAGTTTGTCTTAATCTGACTGCATCGGTATTCATGTGTTAATCCTTCAATTAGGGAAGCGTTTCACATTATAAAAGACTGACTAGTGGGACAACAAACCCCTATTTACGGAAGATAACGAATCAAACTGAAAATGAAATTCTTTAGAAGAATCTTGATGATATTTTGAATTTTGTAAATTTGAGAGGCCAAGTAAATGCGCTTTAATGCCTGTTAGTAACTCTTGTGTCTTGATAGTGTCGTTGTACAATACATTACATAAGGCAATCTACATTCCGTATATTGACACTGAGCGGGTTATCCAACTCCGATCTGTTTCAATGAAGCCTAATCTAGCAGGAATGTTTTTTTTTTTTTTCATTTCTAACTTTTCAAGAATTTGACATTTTTGAACAGTAGTTAATCATCAACAATCAATCCGAAAATATCTATAAAATATTTTATGTTGCCATTCGTATCACATTTTTTTCTTAGACTAGTTACTGCGCTTCTGTTTGGAATCTGACCTTGCATGGCCCAACCTTGACTGCGGAGTTAATTTAAAAGCCGTTTTACTTTCACTGCCTCTAAAAGTTATGGCAGTATGTAATTACTTATTAGCGTTTTAATTGTCTATTGCTCTGACTTACGTTCATTGATATAGTTTGCGAAAATTCTTTATGACTTAGTGAAACGTAATTGTTTTATAGAACCGTAGTATTATTTGTAACAAAACCTTGACCACATTTTTTAATTTACATAATTAATATATCAATATGAAGATATAATAAAAATTGCTTCATAAACATTTTATTGCCATTACTTTTACATTTGCTAAATATAACCTTCTTGTCCGACAGGTTACAGCTATGCCAACAGCCTGCTCCTCCCACACGCCCTGGCCCCAGTGAGCCCCTTGGTGATCTCCCCAGCCGCCGCATTGGTCCCAGGACACCACGTGCCCGCCGACACCCCCGAAGTAGCCGCCGCTAAGCTCGCTCACTTCGCTGCTCACGCTGAAGCCAGGCATCGTGGAAAGCGAGCTGCCGCCTACTACGGACCTCCAGCTCCTCTCAACAGGGACGGAACCGTCGCTTTCACCCCAGAGATCCAGCAGGCCAACGCAGTCCACACCGCTGCCTACCAACAGGAATTCCAGAGGCTCCAGTCTGCTGCTGCCTTAGCTGCCGCACACCCAGACCGCACTTCCCCACCCTCCTCAGACTACAACCCAAACAACAATGGTCAATACAACCAACAACAATACGATAACGGACAATACAACCCAGCATGGAACAACCCTGCTCCTTCATACAACGCTGCTCCAGCTTACAACCCAGCCCCCGCACCCGCCTACAATCCAGCTCCTGCTTACAACCCAGCTCCATCTTACAACCCAGCTCCTTCCTACAACCAGGGATCATACAACCCTGCTCCTTCCTACAACCAGGGATCTTACAACCCACAGCCCCCAGCACCTCTGAACGCTGACGGAACCGCCGCTTACACCCGTGAATACCAGGCTATCGCCGCCTCCCACCAGCAGGCCTACCACCAGGCTCTTTCCAGGACAAAGAGATCCGTCCACCTCAACCCAGACGGTACTGTTGCTCCAACTCCAGAAGTTGCTGCCGCTACCGCCGCACATCTCGCTGCCGTCCATGGTGCCGCCGCCAGGACTGCCGGTGTCTACCACGTCGCTGGCCCCTACACCCCTTACACTTACGGAAACGCCTACCACTACGGTGCCGCCCCTCTGAACCCAGATGGTACCGTCGCTGAGACCCCAGAGGTCCGCGCCGCCGCCGCCGTACACGCCTCCTACGTCGCCAAGCAGCTGAGCGACCTTGCCCACCAAGAAGCTCTCGCTGTTTCCTCCGGTCCAGGAGAGGGAGAGGGTGCCTACTACTCCGGCCACTGGGCAGGTCATGTAGCAGTCCCATACGCAGGCCATTACGCCGGTCACTACGCCGGATACTGGCCCGCTGCTCCCCTCAACGCTGACGGCACCGTAGCACCAACCCCCGAAGTCGCCGCCGCCACAGCAGCGCACCTCGCCGCACATGCTCACGCTAGGGTAGGACACGCTTACTACTAAATTGTTACCGTTAATCCGTTCCTCGTTTAAGTCATTGTTAATATAAGTTTGATGAATATACGTTTTTTTCTATGAATTTGTGTTTATGTCACACCTTTAATTCTTTATCATCACCACAGTCCTCAAGAAACTTAATACTTTTTAGTGTTCTATCGCTAGCCTAGAACAAGAATAGCAAATATAAAATATAACTTCCAATAAACTAGTATCTTTTGAGATAACCACATCAGAAAAATCCTGACAAATTAAAAAATTATTGATTTTTCTCTTTTGCTTGATCATAATCGATATGATGATTATTATTGCACATAATTGATTTTTTTAAAATTTGGATTGTGCTAACGATATTTTTTGCTAGTTAACAGTTTTATTTTAATCACTCCCTATACATGTTAATCTCAATATTACGTCAATGTTTTAATTCTTTTTATATATTCTAATGTAACTTAATATTACCAGCTTTGAATATAACTCATGAATTAGTATGAAGTCCGTAGCTACTTAGCTTATAAACGAAAGGATCTATTGGAGAAAAATAAGATAAGAACTATGTTGCTAATTTAATGTTATTTCACCTTCTTGGATATCTTAAAAGCCTGTTTAATACCTAGATATTTATAAAATTCTTCCACAGACTGGTGTTTCATTAATTCTCCGTGCGGAAGCTGCAGGGAACTGCTATCGTTAACTTATTATTATAATAATTATTATTGATGTTCTTCCACAACGCGATCCAATTAAGTATTTCGTTAGATATTCTCTATTCGCTTAACAATTGCTAAGTATTTTCTATTTCCTCTGAACAGAGGGGGATGGTGGGATCTTTTCCTAATCCCATCTTCTTGAGTAAATATTTTAACGGATAGTGGCCTGTTAATATATCCTTCGTTTTAGATAAAACTTTGTCTTTTCTTTTGAAATATTGATAAATAGTTTGGATTGATGCATAACAGCTTTTGAAGTTTATTTTCTTTAAATTTACTGATTAATTATTGGAACCCAAATTGTTTATTTTGAAAAAATATATAAGTATAAAAAGAGGAGGAAGAGTCACTTGGTTTTCAGTCAATGAAAATATTAAGTCGAAGGACGATACTTTCCTAAGTTGGTGGTTGTGAATTTGAGAGAAGAGTGGAACTGGCAGTGTGCGAAAACATGAAAAGAAGCTACCATGAGAAGTACTTCACCGTCCACTCACATTTAGATGCGAAATGATTTCATCCGGGCCAACGAGTATCGCATTTCGTCAAAGGATATGTGGGCTTTCGGTCTAAGCTGTATAGATTTGGAATGGATGTCAATTCTCTTTGTCTTTTCTAGCATGCCACGGAGGCTACTAAGCACACCATCATGAACTGAACTGCTTTTTGATCGGGTCAAACCTATGATGAAAAATTATGACCTCTCAGAGAACGTTTTCCCTCAACTTGTGAACAAGAAAAAATACCCTTACTATAAAAAGTCTGTGCATGAATGCAAAACAAGGCTCTAGCCGACTTAAATCTTGGAACAGGACCCGCTAAAGCAAGGTCATAGGATAGGGGAGACGTAAAAGAAAACGAAGGACACCCAGCGAATGAGGAGTAGACTAAAAATAGTAACTTACACGTCTTAAAGAAGCTTATTGTCAATATTAACAATTGATTTATGCACGATCAGCTTAACACATTAATGTCAAAAAAGGAGAAGGTTCACACAGAAAAAAAAAAAAAAAAAAAACGCCTGCCAAGTAAGGTTGGTATAGCTTCCTCACCGCTTTCATTGTCTAAAAAATATAAAATATCTATATTACAAGGTCTAAAACTTTGCTTATGAGAATAAAATCTCTGGAAGAATCCGCTTATGGAAATTCAGTCATCCCTCAACACATACGGGCTTGATATCCAAGATTTTTGTTTATCAGCAAATACTAAAATGCGAAAGAATTCCGCATATTCAGATTGCATATTTGATGATTCGTAATAAAAAAAAAATCCAGTGGATACCACGAAGTGATTATGCATATCACTAATGTTAGTGGAAAACATGAATATGTAAAAATTGAATATTTTACACGAGAGCATAAAAACTAATTATTTCTTTATGATTCATTAGTATAATTTTATAATTTATTCTCTTCTGCTATTTTCCATAGTAGTAGACTATAAAAATAGAATAAAATTGAATACTTTGACATACGACCTTTTGCACTAACAGCAGTGATAGTTACTTAATAGGCATGTTTCACTCGTAAAATGGATGGAAGGAAAAATTCAACTTTTTGTTTGTTTGGAATTAAAGAGACCAATACTTTTCTTCAGTCATAACAAAACTAATTAAGCTGGAATATAAAAACATGGGTGAAGTTCACACAATATTGATATTGAAGGAGGAAATCGAAACCAAGGCGAGCTAGTTGAACTTTAATAGAAATAAACACAATCACAAATAAGATTTTTTTACGAACTCAGAGTAACAATTAATTTAAATTGATTGGAAATTATACGAAATTTAAGTATCAAGCAAGTATCATGCCAGTAACGTTTGGAATCAACCAAATAATACAGTATAAACCAAATACAAAATTTGTATAAACATAATTCCAACTCCATATGATCAATGCCTTCAACATTTCTTAGCCATTACATTGATAGCAATCATTTGTATTTGTATTTTAATTATTAAATGAAATTAATACTAGATAATTTCTATACTTTCTCCAAATTTCCTCTATGTTTGGATCAAATTGAACCCGCAGTTTTTAAACTATGGGCGTGCCAAATAATACATTTCCTAATCTGAAAGCCGAAGTATTTTTTTTTGTGGAGTAGTGAATAGAATTTTATAAAATTCATACGTAGTTGATTATCTGTTTACTTCTCTCCAAATTTGAGCCAAATCAAACGTGCGTTATTAGAGATATAGACGTACAACGAAAGATACGTGTGATCATATGTGAGAGAAAGTAGATGACAGATTTCAATTAAAAATTTTTTAAAATTTCTTTATTGAGTATTATAACAATCTGTCTATTGGACATTGGTTATAGTGAGGTAGGATGACATTCACACCATATGTACAAAAAAATAAAATAAATAGAAAAAAATAATAATCAAAAGTATATACAATAGACAATAAAATAAAATAACCTAAAAAATAAGAAAACTAAAACTAAGAAAAAAAACAACACATGCATACCTATATACAATCAGGCGAGGGAACTCCAGGAGAACCCTGCGCTACTCTCCCAACCGCGTCACTGGTACTAAAGTCAGCGAAGATTGGTCGAGAGCACTTTAGCCACTTACACACAATGTCTTGAGTGAAGAATCTGGCCATTGCCAGAACTTCAATTTATACAATCTACAAAAGGTCGCGAGGCCACTGCCGTTTCAACCTTCTTGGAGGATTATAGGGATGGGATATACTTGATAGGGATTGTGCAAGAGGATTTGGGTGGTAAGTAAGGTTCTGGTGAAATTTGGAGAATTTTTCTGGGATAAGGTCTAGGACAAATGGGATGTTGAGGTCATGATGTAGGGTTTTGTTGGATACATAGAAAGGAGCATCGACTATTGTTCGAAGGACTTTAGACTGGAAGGATTGGATGCGCTTGATGTTAGAAAATTTTGCTGATCCCCACAGTTCTAGTCCGTAAGTCCAAATAGGTTTCAGTATTGTCTTGTAGATCAGTAGCTTGTTTTCAATGGAAAGTTTAGATTTTCTGCTTAGTAGTCGGTATAGTTGGCCGTATCGTCGGTTGAGTTCTTGTCTTTTGAGTCTAGTATGCGGGTTCCAAGTTAGTCTTCGGTCTAAATGAAAGCCAAGATACCGGACTGTGTCTGAGTAAGGAAGCTGGATGGAATTAAAGAGTACTGGTGGACAGGAATTGCGTCGGAGTGTAAAGGTAATATGTTGGCATTTAGATTCATTAACTTTAATGCGCCAGTTATTACACCAGTGCTCAATCAAGGTGAGGTGACTTTGGAGATTTAAGGATGCTATTTCGGGATCAGAGTTGGATGATAAGATTGCGGTGTCGTCAGCGAATGTTGCAAGAAAAGTATCGGGATGAACAGGGATGTCAGCAGTAAAGAGGATGTAAAGCAGACGCTGCCTTGGGGAACACCGGCTTTAACGGAGTAGATATTGGAAAATTCTGTTCCACAGCGAACTCGAAAGGAGCGGTCAGAGAGGTAGCATCGGAGGACTAGGTACAAGGACTGAGGTAAATAAATTTTAAGCTTGGAGAGCAGTCCGGAGTGCCATACCCGGTCAAATGCCTGTACAATGTCCAGAAAGGCACCCGAACAGTATTCCTTGTTTTCTAGGGCTGAGGAAATATGATCAACAACTCGGAGTCCTTGTTGAACAGTAGAATGTTGAGAGCGAAAATCAAACTGATGGGAAGGGATATTTTGGGATTCGATAATGGGTAGGATTCGTTTCAAAAGGATCTTTTCAAAGATTTTTGAAAGGATTGGGAGTAGGCTGATTGGTCTATAGGATGTTGAGCTATTGAGAGGTTTGCCTGGTTTTGGGAAAAGGATAATAGTGGAGTGTTTCCATAACAGAGGGAAGTGGGTGGTGCGTAGGATACAATTGTAGATATATGTAAGGAATATGACTGCTTTGGATGAAAGTAGTCGAAGGATTTGAGGTGTAAGGAGATCATGTCCAGGAGCTTTACGGGGGATTTTTTAATTTTTTAATTGAAAACTTACTTCGGAAGGATGAATAGCTTTTGGGGGCAAGGAAAGTGGGATTGGTGATGTAAGGAGTTCTTCTACTGTTACGGTGTAGGCAGGATGGGATTCCGGATGTGAAATAAATGTATTGGATAGGTGAATGGCGAACTCCTCAGCTTTATCTTCGTTAGATACTGCCCAGGAGCCATCACCTCGTCGGAGAGGATGGGAAATGCGGTGAGGATTTAGGATTTTTGTTGTGGTTTCCCAAAGGGAATTGTCGCGAGAAGAGAGGGAGGATAGGTAGGAGTTGAAGGATTGTGATCTGAAGGGGGCTAATTCCAGTTTTAATTGTTTGCAGTAGTAATTATAGGAGCAGCGGTCGGTAGGATGTCGGGTACGTTGCCAT